ACCCCCCACCAAAAAAAAAAAGAAGAGCACAATGTTCAATCTCGATTACTATCAATCATCAGTAATAATTCACATCAACTACATAGTAACATTAATTTCACTTTCTTCTCATCGCATAACAATCATTGTAACCTAACCACATTCTCAAAATTGGTTTTTATTCTAATTAAAGGTTTCACAATCAGCTAGAAAAAAAAAATGTATAAATTCTGAATGAAAAGCCAAGAACTCACTCCAATCTTTGTTCTTGTTGCAAATCGTTTATCATAATGTTAAAATTAAAATCTACTTGGATGAAAAATAATAAAAAGAAAAAATATAAATAAGTAAAAGAAATTAAAAAATGCCAATGGAGGGTGCAGGATTTTAAAATTGAGGGTTCTACAGATTATTGTAAATTAAGGGAAAAGTAAAGGGCATGCACACCAAAATGCCCGATGATATTTAAAGTGATACTACGGGAAAATGTCTCCAACTCTATTTCACAGTTCCATGTTTTCATCCATACTCTCACATTCTGATATCTACAATAACTCAATGAAACACAATACAGCCGCCAAATATTATAGATAGAAAACAAGATGAAGTATTAATTACAAGCCGTCAAACAGTTCCGAGAAAACTAGCTAAGCAGCCAAAAACATACAAAGCTATCAAATGCTTAGTTTATCTGTATTTTGCTAACCTAAGAAAGTTGGTTACATTGTTCAGCTCAAGAACAACAAAACCATGTCTAATACAAACACACAGAACACAGGAGAAACACGAAGAACAGATAAAATTTGTACCCATCAATTTTGGCAGGTAAAGGTCGCAACAAAACATATATGAGAAAATGGCAAAGTATTTTTTCTAAATCTAATTACAGCAACAGGTTCGCTTGCATATATATCATACTGAATGACCATAATTCCGTCACAGAATTCGAGAACGAAATCGGATTTCAGTTTCCGATTGGTCTTCGTCGGGATAAAATGGATGCAAAAGCTGATTCAAAACTCAAGAGGTAAATGCAATAGGGGTTCAAGTTCCAATAGAAAGGAAAAAAAAAACGATAGAAAACAGAAGAAATAGACACCGAATTTGTAGATTGGATCTTCAGCAGCAGTATGTAAGGTCTCCGGCCGGCGGCGGCGGCGGCGGCGGCAAGGATAGTTGCTACAGCGGCGGTGTCTGTTCTGTAACGTCGTTCGGGGGCAGATGAGAAAACCAGGCTCTTTGTATATTTCCTTCAACTTTTTGTTTTTTTTATAAAACAATGGTAATGCGAGCCAGTTTTTAAGCGCCAAATTATACCACTTTCACTTAGAAACTAGCAGAACTATATATCAATTAAAAATAAAAATAAAACAGTAAAAACATAAGTTTTAAATTAATTTTAATATATTTTATTTTAAAAAAATAATATGCATGTAGTATTCTAACATTTCAGTAGATTAAATCACTTTTATTTTAATCAATTGTAATATTCAACACAAATAAATTTCAACAGCACAACATTTAATTATAATTTATTTAATAAAATAAACATTTAGACACATTTATCAACATTTGTTAATCTACCGAAAAAAAAATAATACAAGTGAGTATGTTGATCCAACTATTAAAAATTCAAAAAATAATATGAGTGAATGTTGATTCAATGATTAAAAACTTGATAACAGATGAAGTATAGTCAACAGTCAACTATAGGATCCAATAGAAATACTCCTAGTTTTTCCATATGCATGCAAACATCAGTTAAAGAGAGGGTGTGGTGACCAAAGAGCACTTGGATGAGATGGCTTGGGTCTCTTCCAGCTTAACCAGTGGTCTCGAGTTCGAACCCTGGGAATGCAGCAGTGTTAAAACTCTTGAGGGAGAACTTTGCCGCCCTTGTGGTCCTACCCGGCTCGATTCCGGATTAGTCGGTTCCCCTGTGGATTCGGAAACCGGAAGGTCCCTGTACCAAAAAAAAAAAAAGAGAGGGTGTGGCATATTAGCATTCGAAGAGTTATGGTGGAGGTTGATAGCAAATGTGTGTTACAGGTGATAAATGGCACCGACAGTAGTTTTGGAGCGCACAAAGCCTTAGTCAAGGCCATTTGTCAGTTGATTGAGAGGACGTGTCATATTAGCATTCGACATGTGCATCGAGATGCAAATTTTGTGGTTGACCATCTAACAAGTCTAGCCGCTTCTTGTCTTTCATATGTTGGCTTCTCCTCCCCCTAATTTGGGAGATTGGCTCGTGATGTTATCGGGGTTTGTTATCCCCGCGGAATTCTAGTTTAACATTTAGACCTACGATCTCCTTCTTTGCAAATAAAATTAAAAAAAAAAAATACACAAATGATGGTACAGTACAAATCCACAACAAAACCATGCAACTTATTATTACATCCATAAACAATACTGCACAAACAATCCAACAAACACAACCATATATCAGTCTCACAACAAAAACAAACACGAAGAATTAAAACACCAGAGACAACAAACCAGTACTGGCCTAGCCAATTATTCTACACAATAACAATACCAAAAAGAGATAGCAAATGGAGAGAGTACAATCAGAACAGCACACTGTACTCCAAAACTCCCCAAAAAGTCAGTACCATCGCCACATCTCGTCTCGTCTCAGCCTGCCATAACCTGCCCGATCACTACCCGCCTCAGCCGATTGTACCCATTCCTGTAATGCTCGAGCGAAAAACAAAGCTGCCTTATCGCCTCCCGTTTTTCCTCCGCCCCTTCAACGATAACCTCCTCTTTCCTCTCCACCTCCCTTTCGAGCTCTTCAACTCTCGACCGAAGCTTGTCCGCTCGTCTACGCGCCACCTCAGCTCCCACGATCATATCCACGTGATCCACATGGAGCTGATGAAGATGCTTCCTCATCTCACCAATCATCTCGTCTTTCGAGCTCACCTCGAATGCAAGCTCGTCTTTCTCCGCCTTCAGCCGCTCGATTTCGGCCCTCAACATTTCCACAGAATCTTCTTCCTCTGGATTCTCGAGCTCGTTTTCCAACTTGGATTCCGAATCGGAATCCAAGGTGGACGAGTCATCTTCGGATATGAGCTCGGATACACACGAGCTGGCGGAAAGGAGGTCGGACGGGACGTTTTTGCGGAGGTCGCCCGTGACGTGGTCGTACCGCTCGGCAAGCGATCGGTACATGCGGTAGAAATCCTCGACGAGCCCGATAAGCTCGGGCCTCTTTTGGTAGTACATCTCGGCCTTCTTGGCGAACGAGTCGGCATCTTCTTCGATGAGCTTCAGCATGCGCTTCACGAGCTCGTCCATTTCTGAGATCAGCGATTTCACCGTCATTTTTACCGTTGATCGAAGCACGAAAGAGATTGATTAATGCAGAGGTTCGGATCGAAAGATCGGTTTTTTTTTTTTTCTTGAAATTTTTTTATGGAATGGGAGAAAGTTTCTGTTTCTCCCAGGTTGTTGGAACTGGAAGCACAATACTGATGTTTTATTACCACACACCAGTGGCTAAAAAACAGGGCAGCATGTGTGTATATATTATAAGCTCAGGTGGTGAGAGATTGTGACCAGATGATATTCTACCTGTGATTTTTGCTATGGAGTAAACCACATATTTGGGTTGACTAAATTAATTAAAGTCAAATCTTGGGAAAAAAATGTTGAAATCTTACTATTTTTTTTATTTTTTTTTCAAGATGTGTATTGCTATTAATTAACTAGAATATTGCATAATGAGAGCCACAATTCTGAATAAGGAGCATAGAATATGTTCTTTTGTTGATAATTTTGGAAGGAACAATTGGCTAATATACTCCCTACATTTACACATATTCTTGTGTGGTAGTCTAAAAGGGTTAAATAGATCGATCCATCATACTTTTCGAACAAATATGCATACTTATATTTAGCGTGTAGGATGGTCTGGGATTTGACTTTTCCCAGTACTTGTTACGTTTTTATGACTCAGTCTATGACGAAACACCTTCCCAGAGAGACCGGCATACTTATATATGTATAATATTTTGTATGTTCGTGAGGGAAAATATTAGAAAGACACAGAACAACTTTTAAATTGTTCGGTACCGAAAAAAAAAAGTATAATTATTTTAACATATTTTAGAAAGACACAGAACAACTACTAGCCACATATTTTTTAAACAAAGTTATGCATTTATGTTATATGATCAGATGTCATACTTTTGTTTACGTTGTTTTTCAAAACACGATATTTTATTTTTTAAGTATATATATTCAATAAGAAAGTATGATTATTTAACATTTACATCTACCTAACAATAATCTTACTAATACAGACGCTTAAGTACTCAAAAACTAATTAATTAGCATTTAATTTGTCAGTTATTAATATTATAATCAAACCTTGAAGATTATCTTGAAGCCATTTGGAGTTTTTGGGACTTATGTGGCTATCCCACCACCATGAGTGCGACTTCTTGGACCCAAACCTCCTGAATATGCTCACACTCCTCTTCATCTTCATGCTCATAATTGTGTTTTTACCTGTAATCGTCGTGGCTAGTTAATTTAACAGTTACAAACACTGACGGAATGGCTCCGTAACGGGACCGTAGAATCTCCATCAAAACACATGTTTAAAATGCATATAATTATCTATTGAAATTCCATACAGGACGAAATATTTATTTGAGGCAATTGAATGCTTCAACTTTTTGATAAGTTTGGACCACATTTTTTCAAATAAGTCAATTTATTTTTACAAGAATAATGGTTGGATACAATTTTTTTTCTCCCAATCTTATCAGCATAATTAAATAATAAAATTCAATCGTTACTATATAGTTCTCAGAATAATTAAATAATCGTTACTCTATAGTTCTCGAACAAAAATTCGCGATTTATCAAGTCATAATTCTGAATGAATAATTAAAATAATAGTGAGCAACAAAATAAAAGGTATGAATTAAATATATATCTGAAATTAAATTAATTATTAATAACTGAATTCTTAACAGCTAACTTTAACATACTGGAGAGCCAAAAAAAAAAAAAAAAAGCATTTGGATGACTGGGTCCTATCTAAGCTTGAGCTTTTATCAAATCCAACGGAGATCGAGTTTTAATCAGCCAAACTTGAGTTTTAATGAGTTGAGTTACATTATATTTCTGAGTCGAACTCGAGACTTAACAATCTGAGCTATAAACAATTACATAAAAATCTCTATTTTGAGCCAATAAAATAAGCAAAACCAAACTCGAGTTTGGTTTGTTTATCAAACGAGTCAAGCTGAGATCCAGCCTTAACAAGTCGAATCGAACTTAGCTAAAGGCTGATATCATTTAATAGCTCTAATCTCATCACCAATTGAAGAAATATGGTAATTAATGTGTGTGAGAGAGACAATATTTGGATCTAAGAGCAAGTGAGTTCAAATAGCTAATACCAGTTGTTACAGTTACTTGTAGCACTGAAAATGAAAAAAAATAAAAAAAAAATGATTTTTTTATAGACAAGCTACATTTTCTGAACACACACAAAATAAGAACCTCAGCAGATTTAGAGCAAGGAAATAAAATATTAATTACCTCAAGAAATGCCTCACTTTTCCCACAATTTCTTGAGAATTGAATAAAAAATGTCCTTTTACATAATAGCAGCCATATTAATGGAGCTGAGAATTGAGATGAAGACACTATATATCTGCATTTCTTTCACATGTTTGAGGCTTTTTTACAAGTCTATTGGGATCTTGTGTTATGGGAGTGGTCCCATTAAATTTGTAGAAAGAGTCTTCTTGGACAGTCGTCTAAATAATGTTGGCATCCCTCCTATATATAATTCCCGAATGCGCTGAGCCTACGTGGCTGCTTCTGGTGCTTCAGAATCCTACTTGAGGAAGAATCATGCTTCGTAATTAGGTTTGGACAAATAATATTGATATATTAATAATTAATAATCTAGGTTCGGACATTCTATAAATATTATTTAGCTAACTTATGTATTTTTAATATATATAATTTTCGAATGCGCTGAGCCTACGTGGCTACTTTTGGTGCTTCAGAATCTTACTTGGCGAAAAATCATGCTTCATAATTAGTTTTGGACAAATAATATTGATATATTAATAATTAATAATCTAGGTTCGGACATTCTATAAATATTATATTTAGCTAACTTAGGTATTTTAATATCACTTGTACTAATATAACCCTTTAATTCTTTGTAATTTTACATAGTGAGATACTAAGTGACTAATATATCTCTGAGTTTTGATTTGTTTCCTTTAATTAGCTATTGAATTGTAAATGTATTTTAAAAGTTGATAACTTTTGTATTTCTTATCGGTTTTACATATATAATATATCAAATTAATCATCTTTTAATGATCTTCGATTTGACATTCATATTGTATATATAAAATAAATAAATTATATTTATCTTTATAATAATAAAAATAATAATATTTATTAAAATTCATTAGAAAAATAAAATTATTTCTTAATTGATATATTTATTTTAATGTAGTTATATATTGTAAGTTAAAAAATTATTATAATATAACACATGTAGGTCACACAAATAAAATGTGTCATACTAAATTATAATAATATATATTTTTATAAAAGGTATTTAAAATTTTAACTACTTTTTCTCATTAATTTTAGATTTTTAAAAAAAAATTAGCAAGCACCCGTGTAATACACGGGCGTTGTACTAGTATATAATAGTTGTTATAAATTAACCAGTATTGATACCCGATGCACGTGATACATTACAAAAATATTCAAATATTTATACTTATATAAAGAGCCATCTTATTTACTAAAATTAGTAACAAAAAAATAGGTCAGCATTTAATGCAACTCATAAATAGTAGTTTTATTATTTTTCTTATTTTTTTAAA